ACACTCCCAATCTCCCTGCCGCGGCTTGCACTCTCCCCTCTTCTACTCACTCTCTCTCTGATTCGCTTTCTCCGCGGGTCTGGCCCCACGCCGCTTTCTCTCCTGCCCCTTCGCGTGTGCTGCTGCTGCTGCTGCTGCCTCGCTCACGGCTGCGACTGGCGGCGGTCTGTGCCTTCGGTCGCCTGTCGCCGCTCCTGTCTCACGCCGTACTTGCAGCGGCTCCTTCCCACCTCTCCGTTAATGCCGGTGGGATCCGCGTGGATGCGAGTGGTGTGCGTGTCTCGTCCGACGATGCTCCGAACACGCTCGTGTCTGCGCGCTGAGGCTCTCCTTGGCTTTGCTTCGGCCACGGCTCCTTGCTTACTCTGCCGATTGTGCTGTGAAGGGTCTTTTTTGTTGTTCTTGTTGTAGTTGCTTTCCTTTATCCCCGCTTGTGCTGCTACCTACGTCTCTCGCTCTTTACGGGTGTCTTTCCTTTTTTCCTTTCCTTTTGCTTTTTGTTTTTATTTGGTTGATTTTTCTCCTCGCCGTCTCACACTGTCGTCCTATAACAATAAATCTGATTGCGCTCGGTTCGTCCCCTCACTGTGGCGTGAGTAGCTTCTCCTACCTGCAATGACTGACAGCCAGCCGGCCAGCCAGCCAGGGAGAGAGAGAGAGACATTCAAAAACAAAAAAAAAGAGGTGGAAGAAGTGGAAGAAGGCGCAACCTCAGCGCGGCGTGCAGTCGCAGTGGTGGGTGTCGCGAGACGCGAGTGCCGCCACCTCTGAGTTTGTTTGTTTGTTTTTTCGTGGAACCAAACTGCAGCAACTCCTCTCCCCGCCCCCCGCCGAGCCACGCGGTGCAGCGTCAGCCGCTGCACTTTGAACGAAGGAGAGAACGGCAGGTCAGACACGCACAAACCTGGCCGCTCTCTCGCGTGCGCGCATCCTCCCCCCTCCCCCCGCGCCCATGTTCGTTTTGCCTTGAGGCCAACGTACATCACGCAGACTGGCGGGGAAAGGGAAAAATAAAATAAAAAAAAAGGAAGGATGGGAGGGGGAAGCGCGGCGGCGGGCTTGCCTCGATCCGGCGGGCTACGCAAGCTCCGGGAAGGGCGGGGCGCCGGCGTCCATGATGGCGTACATGCGCACCAGCGAGGCGTACCCCTCCGTGTCGCCGGCGCGCAGCAGGTTCCCCGCATCGCAGTTGTAGGGGTTGTTTGGCTCCGGCTCCGCCAGCAGGCTCAAAATGGCGCGGCACACACTGTTCAGCGTCCACGCTGGGGACCAACGACTCTTCAGGATGTCAAGACAAACGGCGCCGGTGTCAAAGTTCACGTTTGGGTGAAAAACTTTTGTTAAAAAGTTCGCCGTGGGTGGAAGCATCGGGTAGTCCTGCGGCACACGTAGGAGCAAACGGTACTTCCCCCCTTCGAAGGGAGTGTCGGGGGGGCCACGCAGAATCGCCTCCCACGTAAAGAGACTGTTGGCATGCAGGAGGTGCAGCTCCACGTCGCTCTCCGGGTTTAGCGAGGCCTCCCGCAGCTCATTGCCGAGACGCTTCAAGGCGCTGGGCATCCTCGACGCCTGCCTCTTTCTTCCTACGCGACTGTGGTTTGTATCGCTGAGACGCTTTCTTGCGCTTCGCCGTCGCCGCCGCCACCAGCAGCAAGCAGCGGGCATGCGGAGAGGTGGGCGCGCCACAAAACACGGCAAGGGAAGGAAGCGACAGAAGGGCAATAATAATAAAACAAAAGAAAAAACTTCCTCACGAGCCGCCGCAAGAGACGCAGCGTCCCCATCCCTTCGTCCCACACAGGCACACACACACGCGCATGAAGAAAACGCAAATACACATAAAACAAGCCACACAGACATGCACCGCCCCCCCCCCCCCAATTGACTCCCCCGGTAAGAAGAAAAAAGAAAAAACGACAATGTCTTAAGGAAATTCAAAGATAATAAAAATAAAAAATAAATAAATATCATTATGTCAGGACTCTCATATTTTCCTTCATATTTTCTTCGAGTCCGTTGTGCTCGTGTCTCTGGGTGCGCGCGTGCGTTCACGCGGGGAGGCGGTTGATTTATCTTTCACCTCTCACCACCAACATCTTTGCACCTTTTTTTTTCGCGTCGCATGCCTCTCTACTCCCTTCTTTGCTCCCACGCTCCTCTTGCTGCCCACTCGCACGGCTGAAAAAATGGGTGTGTGCATGCCACAGCCAAGGGAAACCCTTTCAAGTGCGCATCGAGGTAATTGCGTCTTGATGCCCGTTCCCGCCTCCATGAGAGCGGTCACTCAGTTCCCGCTGCTGCATCTCAAGCTGTACAGCCACACACATACACACAGAGAGAGAGAGAGGGATACATATAAAAAGAGACATGTTGATGATAATAATGAGAGTGGTTGGAGGATAAATACATATAGGCACATAAATGCACATGCGGTTGCTTCTCTCGCTCTATCACGCCGTCTCTCACGAGCGCACTCGCCCGCTCATTTCCTTATTTATTCGAGACTTTTCGGTCCATCAAGTCCCCATTGTTCTATAATCACCAATAATCGCGTTAGACAAACCTCGGAGAAAAGGCAGAGGGTTCTTGAATTCTTAAAAAGAAAAATAAATAACTAAATGCACATACTCACAGAAACATATACACACACATATATATAATATATCTGCAGACCTCTTCACTCTATAAACTGATATGCTTTTAAGTAGTCACGGTTAAAGATACATGACAGCGCAGACCAAACTCGTGTGTCAGTGTGCGAAGCCGCAAAGCTTGGGAGAGCTGTACAATTAACTCGCGTGTCGCGCCAGTCCGTCCCACCAGCGTTGGGGGGAGAAGGAAGGGAATAAGAAAAAATACCTGACCATATAAAGGAATGTAAATATATAAACACAAATATGGCTAAATGAGTTCATCATCATTTCAGGCACCTTCTCAGAAGGTCTTTGCGCTGTCGCGTTTGTTTGTTTGTTTGTTTTTTGCGGTTGTTCTTGACTTGGTCGGTTTACTCAAACCAAAGTCGACATTCCTCTTCCCCATGCGTGAGTCGATTGCGTTGGGCGGAGTGTTGGTGCATTCAGAAGCCGGTTGACCGCCTCTAGACGTGAGACTCTGCCACGCCTCTGCGCGCGCACACACACACACGCATATTCACACCTCAAACGAAAAAGAACCAAACAAAACTTTCATACGTCGTTACTGTCGTTCCTTCTTGCCTGACGCACGTCTTCTCACTCTGTAAGACCCCACCCCCAGCATGTACTTGCGTTTTTTTTTTGCTTTCTTTTCTTTGCTTGTTCCGTGTGTGTGTGGCTTCCTTGCGGCAGTCATTGGAGCAAGCATGGAACTTCTTGTCTCTACTCACGGCCGAGGCGTCTACTTCCGAGGATCCGTAGCCTCTGGGGGCCTGTTCACACCGCCGTCGCTGTCACCGAAACCCCAGTTGTCGGGGAAGATGCTGAACTTTGTGCGGCGCGGTGCCGTGTTGGACCCGGAACAAGACTGATGTGTCCGGCTCCTGTCCAGGGTTGTTATTGGGTTCCCTGCGGGTACGGCGCCTCCGCTCCCCAGCGGTGTGTGACGGGTCAGTTGTCTTTTCGCCTGAGTGCCCCGATGCACCGAAGGCGTTCTCCCCCGGAAAGCAGCTCATCCTCCCCAGCGGTAGACACACGGGCGCCCCGCCCGGCCAGGGTAGCGGGTGCCGTGTTTACACGATCATCCCCGACGTTCTTCACGCTGCCTTTTTTCTCGGGCTTCCGCATCGGCGCAGGATGACTGGGTGCGTCATAGACATCATCCACATCGTCAATGCAATTGAGATCACTACGAACGTGGGTTTTGTTCTCGGCGTCCTGCTGCTGACCAATAAGCATCGCAAAGGGCAGAACAGTGGCGAGCGGTAGTGGCGGCGGCGGCGGCGGCGGCGGCGGCGGCAGTGGCTTTTCTGACACCGCCTGCTGCAGGTAGGCGTAATCGCTAAACTCTGCATCGATAAGGTTTTGCCACTCCTCCTCTGCATAGTTGAAGATGCGCTGCCGCCGCACCCCCTCGGCCTCGAAGAGGAAGCGCCATTCCTCATGAAACCGCTGCGTTGTCGTGTAACCCATCGAATTCGTCGTTGGATCGACGGGCAGGTACGGGTCGTGCTGGAACGGCGCCAGGGCCGGGGCAAGCTCCACCACGGAGGTCAGGTACCCGTCTCTGGGCCCCGGCTCCGGCCCGTCCTCGGTGTCCGTGAAGGTGTCCAGCTCCTCCGGCTTCGGCGCGGAGGGCGCAGGGCCCTCGGCGAGGTCGTCCCCGCCGCCGCTGGCGGCAAACGGGTTGGTCCAATTTCCGCTGTACTCGAAGTTAAACTCCTGCTCCTTCGCCGCAACCCGGACGCGTTCCTGCTCCTCGGCGCACGCGAGGCGAAGGTTGTACCGATCCCGCGCCTCCTCCAGCCTCACCTGGTCCCGCTCGCCCTCCTCCAAGCCCTCCAGCATGCTCCTCCGGGTCACCTCCCGCGCGCCCGTTGCCGTTGCCGCGGCCGCGGCCGCCTGCAGCAAGATGGTGTCCGTGGCGCTGCTACCAGCGAAGTTGTTTTGGGAGACGCCAAAGGAGTGGCTCCCACGTGTCGCGAGAAACAGGGACTCCTTCGGCGCCCGCGGAGGACTTGTACTTGAGGTGCATATCGTCAAAGGGTTTGTCTCGCTCCCATGCAACTGCGGATAGGCCAGGTAGGTGTCCCGTTCCTTGTCCTGCTCTCGGTTGCGGCATCGCAGGAGCAGGCAGAGCAAAAGTACGAGCAGCAGGAGTCCAAAAATCACACACAGCACAATGATGGCAATAAGCATGCTGGTACTTAGCGTGGTGCCAGTGGTGGTGGTTCCCTCAAAGCATCCTTCGTTGCTCGCCTGGACGGTGCCCAGGGTGGTGCAGTAGGAGGCATCGCCGGCGTGCAACGCACACACGCTGAACTCCTCGTTGCTGGGGTAATCTTTCACCAGTGCCGCGTCTAGTTGCAGGCGGCATGTGTTGTCGCTGTCCCGGGTGAGGCTTCCGACGGTGTTCAAACGATCAATAAGTCTGCAGCAATCCCCCTTAATAACCGTCATGAATGCCCCCGGCGGGGATACATCCGGAAGCGCACAGGAGCTCAAATGCCAGGCCGCACAACGTGAAACCGTAACCGGCAGGGAGAACTTGGGTGGCAGAAAGCGAATTGCACCTGTGTAGGGAACAGCCGCGACGGTGTTGTTGACCGGCACAGCCGCACATAGGTACAAGGGGCCGGCAGGCTCATACGCGTAGACAACAATGCGTCGCAGTCCACGGCCCTTCGGGTCTTTAGCTGCCTTCCAGGAGCCATACCTGGTCGCTTGCTCCCTGCAACCCCGGTCTGTGCTAAAGCCAGGGAGCAAGTTTGGAATCCACAAATCATTTAGCAAATAGAAGGGACTGTCGACCCAGAGAACAACATCGCGACCCCGAACATCGTAGTGCACAGGCTTCACCGCCTCAATCGTCGTCAGTGGCTGTAGACGCAATGCCGGGAGCACGGAGGAATTTCCTTTAGGTGCCGGGTGAGTTTCCAGGCAGAGCGTCCACTGGCCGATAGCGGGTAAGCTGTCGTCTGCGGAGCGTCTAAAGTGCACCACACCATGCGCCTCCGTGTTCGTTGTGAAGGACGGGACAACCTCCGGGCCCCCGCAGCTGGGATCTCGTCGCAGGTGGAACACCCCATTTGGGGTGAGTGGGACATACACATCGATGTCGGCGCCAACAACAAACTGCGCGGGGTAAATGATGACGGTGGAGATTGGAATGTCCTTGACGGCGGAAAGGTTCCCTGCGGGGGTGCCTGCGCAGACCGAGAGCGACGGCGGCCCACCGGAGATGTCCGCCGTGGGCAGGGCGGCGCGTCCAGTGCTCCCAACGTACGTCAGGGCACTGCCCGTGGCAACGCTTCTGCATGCGTCACTCGAGAGGAAAATGCCACGGAAAAAGGAGGCGTAAAAGGGCGCAAACACACTCTTGGCGTCGCCCCCTGGCACCAGCGAGTAGAGCCGTGGTTGACCGCTCTCAGTGGCCACCCGCAACGTCACACGGAACGGGGCGCCGATCACGAGTATGGGATCCAACAAGGAGGAAACGGGAGGATTGACAACCAGAAGCTCCGCCACGGGCAGCTGTGGTGGGCCGCCGTCAGGGTTTGCAACGCACACGTACTTCACCCCCGAGACCCCTGTAAGCTCCAAACATGCACGTGGCGGCTCATCCGCAAGACCAGCTGCGGCCGCCAACAAACTACCGCAGCTCGCGCTGCGGCTCAGGTAGGTCTCCTTTGTGGCGGTACGGAAGTTCAGCCTCAACAGCACAGGGAGTTTGCCACCAACACCGTCGAACAGTTCACTCGGAATAGACGTCGGCGAGGCTTTGAAGTTTTCCACCTCAAGCGTCGGAGTGTCGCTGGTAAACACAAATTGACGATCGCCCTTCGGGCGCGCACATACAAAAAATGTTGCCGTCTCATCAAACCTCGGTGAATACCCGCGTGCCCCCGGCAACAAATCCCGACAATCCGACGTTTTAGAAAGCACCGGACCTACGAGGAGCGCTGTGTCGATTCCGTAGTTCTCTATAGGTCTAGCCGGTGGAACTTTTATAGGCAGAATCGCGGCAGGATGGTCGCGGTCGCAGCTCTGAAGGCGAATGAGCGGCATCACCCCTCGGTGCTCGTACACGCTCCCACCATCGCGGCTTTCGCAGTAGTGCACAGAGGTGCGATCCAGGTTGCCGCCTGCGCACCCGTCCACCCGTAGCTCGGAGACGTAGTCGGCGACAAGCGCGGGTTTAACGCTCATCACACTCCCCGCACAGTCCGCTGCGGCGGTGAGTTTGGCCACCACATTTTCCTTCCACACGCCAGAGCGCACGTGTACGGTGCGGCCCGTAAGCATCGTCGCGGGAGTCATGTAGGGGAGAAGCGTGAACGTTGTTGCGAGAAACGCGTCCGTTGGGGATGCGGCCACGCACAACTGGACCTCTTCCACGATGGGGGTGAGCTTCGTCACGGTGATGGTTCCGTTGAAAACGCCCGCAGGAAGCGTCGTATCCTCGCGTCGTGCGTCCGTTGCGCCGCAGGAGACACCTGGCGGCATCGTAAAGAGGGTAATGGAGTCCGTGCGGGTGCGTGTGTCGCCCCCGCTCACCGCTACGTCGGCCGCTCTGTACTGTCGCACCTCCGTATCCACGAGGGTCACCGCAAAGGGATCCACCGCTGTGACAAGCACAGGCGAGGCCGCGACTTCGTGTTGGTGCACGTCTTCCTGGCACAGCACATACTGCCCGAGCGGGGCACCTTGCAGAGGAACCAGGGAACTTGTGTGGTACCGTCGTGTCGCATGCAAGCAGACGGTCGATGAAATGGGGGCGCCGCACATGTCCTCCGTGGCACAGTGCACAAGGAACAGAGAGCACCCATCAATGATTGGGTACGCTGAAACGTTATTCGGTGAGTTGCGGATGACATATCTAGAAAGGGACGTGAACGTCACAAGTTTTATGGTGCTCCCGTAGACAAAGAAGCTTCCCGCCTCATCCTCCCATCCAACACAGACTGTCAATGTGCCGGTTTGCGTCGTCAAAAATGAGCTGCTGACCCTACTGGCGGCGTCAATAGAGCCCTCCCCATAGGTGGGAGGAACTTTGTCCTCACTGGCAAATGCACACGAGTCCTCCGTGTCTGTAACTGCAAATCGTGTTGGGTTGAGCGCCTGCCATGACGCCCCGTCAAATTTCATCGTGACAGGCAATCCGGCGGCGCCTGGCGAGGGATTTGTAGTCATCGCCAACGGCTCCACAGAAGAAACACCTCCAGCGGGGCTGAACGCGCCGAGGGAGTTCCCCACACACAGCGTCCAGACTGTGACTTCAGGTGGTGTAAAGAGAACAAATGCCCGTCCGTGTTTGGGGACAGTGACAGGCAGCGTCGGTCCCGAGGGCGCTGACGCGCATGACGCCCCCGCTCCACGAACTGCAACGACGCGAAATCCGGCGAGAGCCGCGCCGTCGGGTACAACGAAATTCACACGGTTTTGCTTATTCACAATCACGGTCTTTGGAAGGAGAGAAACGCTCGTCACGGGCAAAATTCCGACGGGGATTACATTCCAGTCTCCCCCGATGTCATTTCCATGATACCCCACACACACGGTCAGGTTGGTCGCTGTGGCGTACCACACCCGGAGCTCCGACGTCCCACTCCCGCTCGCCGTTCCTTCAGCCACTGGGACAGCACTGCAGTCAGCTGCGGCAACGATCCTCACCGGGGCAACCGGGGGGACCTGCGACACCAAAACATCTGTGGTGGCGTCCGCAAGAATGGAGGTGGGGGTCAATGCCACCGCACCGTACACCACAACTGAAGCTAAAGGGGTGAAGGATGCGTCACGCGGCACCTTTACGCAGAGTGAGTACTTCCCAGCGTATGGGAGCACAACTCTCTTCGCATAAGTCTCATTCATCGCGAATTCGACGCCAACGGCCTTGGTGCATGCGTCCATGGCAAACACCCCCTTCGCCCCTGCCTCAAACTGCACCCCCGGATCAAATGTGACGATTCCCGCCTTCCCTGCAAAGAGGGCAGCGTATTTCAGGGCATACGGCCGAGTCGTAATTTTGTCCAAGAGATACGCGTAGCCACGATCTGGAGCCTCACCCGGGGGCAGCGGCTTCGAGGAGAACGGGGTTGAGACGCAGAGGGACATCGTCTGGAGCGCGTTCTCTGGGACGCGGAGGGTGACCTTGTCTCCGGTCTCTGTCGTGGTGGCCCTGGAGACCAGCTGAGAGCAGTCCCACGTCATGGATAACCCCACGACAATGGCGCCAGGGATGGACGCCGCGCGATTGCCCAGTGTGACGACAGTGTCCACGCCTCTAACGGCGGGAGACGGCGACGACGCCGTCGTGGGTCTGGTCATCACCGTCACGTTGGCCGCAAGCACGTTGACTTTTCCTTTTTGCCCTGTAGCCCTTATGCATGCGTAGTACAAACCCGGATCGGTCACGGTCCACTCCCGCGACGGGCGCCAGGGGAGGACATTGTCTTGCCTGCAATCAGGGGATCGAAAGAGTGCGATGGTGGTGCCGGTGTCATGCTGCATTGACGCCGCGTCCAACGCGAGAGTCACGTTGGTGGGCAGGGCGGTGTACATCGTGTGCGGCTGCAACCCGTACTCCTTAATTTGGATGAGGCTGCTCGAGGGCATAAAGACCCGGGTGGACATGTAATACGGCACCCCCGTGCACAGGTAGTACTCCCCTCGGGGCACATATACGAAGAGCGTGACACGCTGCAGCATTCCATTCGACACCGGCTCCTGCAGCAGCGGATCACACAACACGGAACGCGAAAAACTGGCAAATGGGATCTGATTAAATTCGCTTAAGACGAAGGTTGACGTGGTGTATCGGACCGCCCCTGGCCCACTCGCGGAAAAGGGCGCGAATGCCACCACGGTCGCCGCCTGTAAAAACGCCGACAGCTCCCCAGTAGGCCCCTGTGGGATACGCGCGCAGAAGTGCATGATGCGGCTGGAACTGACAGTCAAGGTTAACCTCCTGTCCTCACCCAGCTTCACGGCCAGCATGTCAAGAAACGGAGAGCTGCAGTCGCTGTCAACAAAGAAGCCGATGACACTGCCCACGGGTGTCGCATTCCCCAGCGCCAGCGTAGACGGCACCCCCGTAAAGACGTAACGCGGGACGGAATCTATAACGTGAACTTGCAGTGTCTGGATGCACTTTGCAGGAACGGCACTGGAGCAGACGTAGAGCAGTGGAACCTCCTTGTCGTACTCGGCACTAACGCCGACGCTCGCCGGGGGCACGGTGAACTCACAGGTGCGGCTTGCCGGCAGGGTGCAGAAGGAGCCCACCATTTTTGACTCCTCACACGATGAGGCGCTTGATAAGAACAAATTTTTTCCCGCTTGCATAAAGTCAGCGGTCACATTAAAGGGAACATTCAATAATGGCATAGGCGGGTCCACAACGACGGCTGCCGCATGTGTCGGCAGACTAACAAACAGCAGTGTCACCATGCAAGCGGTCACGGTCCAGAGCGCACAGCTAAAGAGAGATACTCTGCTCTGCCCTCGCGTACCAGCAAGATACTTCGCCATTCCGTTTTGACCGTATGTTTGGCTCAATTCCTTTTATTGTTATTTTAATTGTCTCTAGTGTACTCACTTCTTTTTTTTCTCTCCTGTCATGTGCTGTTGTTGCTTTGCTTTATTTCCCCTCCAAAGCCCGAGGTGGTCTGCTTTGCGGGGCTGTCAGTGCCTGCCAAAACGCAGAAGAAAGGGATGGACAAACCAACAAGAACAGCACCTTGGGCCCCTGTGGCGTGTTGTCGTGTTCGGTGTCCGTGTGCGTGTTCGGTGTCCGTGTGCGTGCGTGTGTGTGGCCTGACCACCACTTGCGGCGATACCAATGCGGTGCACGCAACTGTTACTTCCTGCGGCCAGGTATATTATATATATGTATATGTATATGTGCGAGGAGAGAGACGTACATGGAGAAGGAAAGAGGGTGCAGTGGGGAGACAACCAACGGACAGGGGCAGT